ATGTTCAGAAGATGTTCACCAAGTTTCTCCTCAAGGGGGCTACTGCCCTTTGAAGCAAGTCGTTCAGAGTCCTGTAGCCAAAGATGTTCAGTGAAAGGAGAAGACGTGGTACGGATTGATGCACCGGCCACAGGGTAAACCTTGAGAGGATTGTCAGCCAAAAGCAATTGAAAAATATAAGGGAGCTGGACAAGGAGCCTTAACACATACAGAGCTTTTCCCATTCTGGTGTAAAATAATATTTGACAGAAAAGTTTGCAATTTGTTTGGAAAATTAAAGACCTTGAGTCTGGGGGAAGGGTACAGAAAAACAGAAGGTTCGTCCAGTCATTGAATATTTAGGGTGCCATGTCATCTGATGGTGTTGGTTCGTCTTCCTTGAAAGTGTGCAGCCATCAACCATGACAGTATAGAATATTTCATGCTTCCTTCTGCTGACAGCCTTTATGGAGGAGCTGATTTCATGTTCCACAGGGATATGGTGCCTGCCCACAGTACCAAAGGCAGTAAACCCTGGTCCAATGACCAAAAAAATAAATATCTAAGTGTTAAAGATGAGAAAACCACAACAACGCAGAGGATTCTTATCCTTCTATATCAACTACGGCTTTCTTTACACATCAGCAGTCCCAGCAGATGATCACCTCCATGTTGAAAGTTGCAATCTATGCAAAACAAAACCCCAAGTTTGAAAACAAAGAAACAAAACCATTAAGAAGCCTGAAATTTCTGTTTATTTCTTCATAATCTTTACTTAGTTTTTTGGGTTTTCCATTTGTCAGCCATAACCATGAAATCTATGATAAAGACATACAATATCTCCCTCTTGAGTTAATATAAAATTATTTATTTTCTAAAAATGACTGAAAATAGATGGAATCTTCTCTTTAAAATATTTCATAACCTTCAAAATTCTCATTTAAAGTAGAGTGGGTTTTAGCTTTTGTTCACCCAACTATTATTTGCACCAATTTTTTTATTTAACTCAGAACTGAAGTGATTGTTATGACAACCTCAATCAAAGTTAGATTTAAACTGATAAATACAAGTAAACAAAAAAAAAAAAAAACATGATAATGATATGTTTATTGACATATCCATCAGTGCGGGGTCCAATGCAAATTACCCATGCAAATTATCCAAGACAAGAGATCATATTTCCAGTGCTTTTTTTTTGTTGTTTTTTTTTACTGAAAAGAAAATAGAAATATTACAAATTA